CATTGTTTCGTTCTGCTGTGCATGGGGTCACTATGAGTCAGTTCCGACTCGATGGCACCTGACAACAACAACAACAGTGTTGGGAAACAAGGGAACTATGTATATTTCCATTTCTCTCTATTTCTGTTAGGTTTGTATTCTCAAATTCTTTCTCCCTGTGGCCAGTAAGTATCTCAGATGTAAGATTTTCTCTGACTTAAGAATTGACGAATACAGTGACTCTTGTCTGGAAGATCGTTCCAAGATGGTGACAATCCCGGGAACGGAAAAGCCCTTTGAGAGAGCATCTGGATCCTTGGACAGATCTTAATGCCCTTATTTGAAAGATTTCATCCCAGAACCCCAAGCCTGAGGCTGAAGCTCCACTCTGCTGCTCATAAGCAAATGATTTCATTTTGTTTGAGCTGCAAGCCCATCTGAAAAATGCAGGCAGCAATGCCGAATCCACAAATTTTTGTGAAGTTTAGATGAAATTTTAAATGAAATTATCTAGCTAGCTGCTTGGCATAACTACATTTTAAAAAATAAACAAGGCTCACAGAGTATTTACTATGTACCCCAGAATTGTGCAACAATTCTAGCTGGATGATTATTTAATAGTCACAAAAACCATATTCTTTCTAGTTTACAGATATAAAACAGGAGGAGAGAGGTGGGCAAATTGCATAAGGACAAATAGGTAATGAACAATGAAGGCGAAATATCAGTCCTGCTTTGTCTACCTTCTACAGCAAGACCTATTTCCTTTTCCTGCATTCCTTACCTCCTGAGAAATTCTCATCTAAGCACTCAGTGAAGTCTGCAAGAAAAAGTGGCAATTAACCAACTCCAAGCAAATCTCTAGCACAAAATGAGTTGGTGTTCAAGAAAAATTTGTTGACCAATGAAATTTCCAGAGGATACACAGGCTTTGTTTTTTCAGCTTCAAATACAGCAAAAAGTAATTTCCATGAGTTTGAGGATTAGGTTACCCAGATTAAAACCAAACCAAGAGCCTAAGATTTGTGACTTTGGGAAAACAACAGCTATCACAAACACCACAAAATTTACAAACATAATAACTTACAAAGAAAACTAATTTCATAGTGGAGTCTTGGTGTGGTGCTGTGTACTAGACTGCTAACCACGAGGTCAGCAGTTCAAACTGACCACTGCTAAGAAACCCTCTACAGGGTCGCTATGAGTTGGAACTGAATCCACAGCACTTAACAACAACAACAACAAAAACATTCAAAAAAAGGGAATGATGAAGGTAGAACATACCTGACTCTCAAAGTTTAGTTTCCATCTCTTAATTTTCCTTGTGATTATTCACCAAGAGACTCTTGGTGGACGGAAAAATAGAGAGTTGATGGGCTATAAGGTTGAACTTAGCTATGGAAAAATAAAATATCTGGTAGCATAGTGGTTATGAGTTGGGCTGCCAACCTTAAGGTCAGCAGTTCGAAACTACCAGCTGTTCCGCGGGAGAAAGATGAGGCTTTCTGCTCCGTAAAGATTTACAGCCTCGGAAACCCTGTGCAGGGTCGCTATGAGTCGGAACCGACTCCACGGTACTTAACAACAAAATACCCCATCCATACACAGTAGATGCTGCCAAGTCATGCAAGAATGATGATGACAATATTAACAGCAGCAGTTTTCATTGTGTGCTTATTATCTGTATTGTTGTTGTTATTAAGTGCCCTCGAGTCAGTTTTGATTCACAGCTATAGTTATACTTTAATTGCTTTCTTTTGTTGTTGGTGATTAGGTTTGCTTTTTGTTTTTTTGAAGAAGAGATAGTAAATCTCAGAAAGGATAAATCATTGTTCCAAAGTTGCACAGCTAGTAAGTGGCAGGACTGGGATTCAAACCTCAGGGTTTTTTCACTGTTCTATGTTGGTGTTTAGTGCTGTTGTTGTTTAGTGCCTTTGAGTTGGTTCTGACTCACAATGACCCTGTATAGGACTCCCAAGGAGCTGCTAATGGGTTTGAGCTGCTGATCTTGTGATTAGCAGTCCAGTGCTTATCATAAAGTACCATACCAGGATTACACTGTGAAACTCTTTTTCTTTGTAAGTTATTATGTTTATAAATTTTATGGTATTTGTGATGGGGTTTGTGATGTTTGTTATTTTCCCAAAATCCAAATCTTAGGCTCTTGGGTTGCTTTCAACCTGGGTAACCTAATCCTCAACATGTGGAAATTACTCTTTGCTGTATCTTGAGCTGAAAAATAAAGCTTTTACATCCCTGAAAGATTCCTTAGCCCATAATTTTTTCTTGAGCGCCAACTCACTTAGATGCTTAATGTAGTACTGTTTGATGTGCAACAAATCCTGTAGCATTCATTGCATTCAACAGTACAGCACCTTCCAAAAGATGGAGTGAGTTGACAAAGGAGATTTATTTTACTTTCATGTCTAGACAATCCCAGGACACTGGGAAATAAATTGTGTTTCCCTTGACTGCCTTAAGTCCCAAATCATGATGCTTTTGATCATTTTTCTTCTGCCCTTCCCCATCTTCATGGGGGATGGCTTGACCTCGGTACTCACCTCTGGAAGGGTCATGACAAAGGCATGCAGCTGAGCTTGCTTTGCAGCTGCTACGACTCTTTCCATGGAAATTTCTTTGGTGTTGTCCCCATATTTGATATTATCTGCTATGCTACAGTCAAACAACACTGGTTCCTGGGACACGATTCCAATGTTTGAACGGAGGAACTGGATATTTACCTTTTTGCTGTCATGACCATCTATCATCTGCCAAGAGGATGAGAACAAAGAATACGATGCCTTAGAATTCTAGCAGTGAGGAAAATTCATATTCCAGAGTTAAGTGAGAAAGTCTTGCCATACTTTGAAGTAGGATACTCCGAATAAATCCACAGAATTGCTTCATTTTAAGACTGTGGAGTTAAAAATTCTTCTTGGGCCAAGGCGTGGCCATGGGAAGAACTGGATCACTCATGGTGAAGAACACAGACTCCTGAGCGTAGTTATCAAAGAACACATCCAGGTTTGCTCTTCCAAATAAGCACTCAGTAAGCATAAGTGTTTTTATTATCTTGTTACAATAATAGCGACATACTACAATTAAGTGGAAGATCAGAAAGTTAGGCACACTACTGGCGGTTGGGGTCATAAGTGTTGGTGGTTCCATGTAATGTTAGATGAGGTTAGTTACATGGTTGAGTGATCCTACATGCTAGAGGGCATGGGGTGAGAAAGCAGTTATTCTCAGTGGGGCTGACAAGTCCAAATTATCTATGGAGGCAGGAAGAAAAGAAGAAAGGAAGTCCAGGTGCTGGTTCTGATTTAATAAACCAGACTAATAAATATATACATTTAATAAAAATCCAATTTTATAAATATATGATGTCTGTAACCAGAATTCAAAACCTAAGTACTTTGTTCCAAGCTCTAGTCTTTTTAAATTGGGGTCTCCCAGTATATTTGCTTTGCTACTTTTTCTTTTCATATTATCACTTCTAATGAAAATGATATCAGATTTATCATACATTTTTTGAAAGGCACAGATAAAGTGTCTTCATTTCTGATTACTAAAATATTCACCATATTATAATAAGTATGTAAAAATACAGGCATTTTCATTTTTATTGATTAATGGATACTTATAAAAATTAATGATTTAACATAGACTTTAATCTTCATTTGACAAATTTAACTAGATATTCAACCAAGTTTAACTGGATATTCAACAAATGTATGAGAGTCTGGATTTTTTTTTGTTGTTGTTGGGGGTTTTTTGTTACTAAGTAGATCTGCTGCTGCTAATTTGTAATTTTTTTTAACCTTTAGAACAAACAGTTTTATTGGCAGAGGCAAACTATGTCTGCTGTCATGGGACCTAGCTCCAAGAAAGCTTCCAAGAATAATTGGTTAGCCATATCTTCTATTCCTATCTTCTTTTCTTAGTTATCCAAGGAAAACGTATCCTCTGTGTATATGCCTATGAGCCCTGGTGGCACTGTAGGGCAAGCACTGGAATGTTAGCTGTAAATTTA